CCCCCTTATCTCCATCAGGCGGTCAGATATCTGTCGTCCTTCTGAGAGGTCATTCGGACACACATGGGCCCGGCGCTTGTATTCAACATGAGAAGGTCATTCTTCTATCTGGTTTGGATACAAAGTACTTCACACAGCTCAACACATTTCTGCACACATGCTCCCCTTCAAATCCAATTCTCATAACCTGCAATTTACATTCGGTGTTACAATGTAGCATTTAGTTCATACGAGATGGCCACAGACACAGCAATTCTGATTGTACAATACCATCGTCATGGAGAATGCAAACCAAAGACATACATTCAGCTGCGTCAGTGCAGCTTGTGGGATTGGATCGGCTCCAATGTGACCTCCACATCCTAAAGCAGTATACACGACACTGCCCCTAAGGACAGGTAGATGGGAAGATATGTGTCTACCCTGCACCCTTGCTGGTTCCTTCCACAATATTAAAGTGCATGTATAGCCAAAAACATTTTACATCTGCCAGTGTTCCTGTGTGAGAGTTCCCGCCACTTCCTGTCTGGTTAAAGGAGAACTGTGAGGTGGGTGCTTTTCACTCACCTCATGCTCTGACAGCATTGCATTGAGTGGCTTCCCTGACACTCATTTATAATGTGGAGCCCCAGAAGAAATAAGGTTCGAATTCCACTGAGCCCAAGGCAGTGAGGGCTTGTATCTTTTTCCTGACACCAATACATGGCAGCATACAATGGGGCGGAGCCATACCCATTGTATGCTGCCATGCATTGGCGTCAGGAAAATTACCGATAGGTAAGTATACAGTTTTCCAGTAAGTAAAGAAGAACTCCAACACCTGATAGCAAGAACATTGCCATGCTTTCAGCGCCTTGCTTTCAGCGCCATGCTTTCAGCGCCTTGCTTTCAGCGCCATGCTTTCAGCGCCTTGCTTTCAGCGCCTTGCTTTCAGCGCCATGCTTTCAGCGCCTTGCTTTCAGCGCCATGCTTTCAGCGCCTTGCTTTCAGCGCCTTGCTTTCAGCGCCTTGCTTTCAGCGCCTTGCTTTCAGCGCCTTGCTTTCAGCGCCTTGCTTTCAGCGCCTTGCTTTCAGCGCCTTGCTTTCAGCGCCTTGCTTTCAGCGCCTTGCTTTCAGCGCCTTGCTTTCAGCGCCTTGCTTTCAGCGCCTTGCTTTCAGCGCCATGCTTTCAGCGCCTTGCTTTCAGCGCCTTGCTTTCAGCGCCTTGCTTTCAGCGCCATGCTTTCAGCGCCTTGCTTTCAGCGCCAGCACAGTGGCCTAGTGGTTAGTACTTCTACCTTGCAGCATTGGAGTCCTTGGTTTGAATCCCACCCAGGGCGCTCATTGTCTGCTTTCCTAGCACTTCCTTTTGTAATCCTTCCAGAGGCTTAATGTCCTTTTACTTGGCTCCAGTCTAAGTTGACTCTAGCGTCTGTAGCCCCCATCTGCACACCATGAGAACGCTCCCATCAAGTGGCTGATACTTCTCTGACACTCGTTTATAACATGGAGCCCAAGAAGGAGTAAGGTTCGAGGTCCGCTGAGGGCAATGCGTTGTTGGGATGTATTCTTTTCTGGTATTGTAAGTAAAGAGGAACTTCAACATCTGATAGCAAGAACATTGCTGCACTTTTGCTGCACTTTTGCTGCACTTTTGCTGCACTTTTGCTGCTAGCACAGTGGCCTAGTGGTTAGTACGTCTACCTTTCAGCACTGGGGTCCATGGTTTGAATCCCACCCAAGGTGCTCTTTGTATGCAGTCCAGATACTTTCGGTCATTTTACAGGGCTCCTTTCTAAGTTGACCGTAGTTTCTGTAGTCGCCACATTGGCAGACCCTGATAACGCTCCATCGGGTGGCTAATACTGCTCCACCGCTCCTCTAAAACATGGAGCCCCGGAAAAAGGAAGGTTCGAATTCCACTGAGCCAAATGCGGTCATGTGTTGTATGTTTTTCCAGTATGGTAAGTATAGAAGGACTTTAACATCTGATAGCAAGAACTTTGGTGCATTTTCAGTGCCAGCACAGTGGCCTAGTGGTTAGTACTTCTACCTTAAAGCGCTGGGGTCCTTGGTTTGAATCCCACCCAAGGTGCTCTTTGTATGCAGTCCAGATACATATTGTGCTTTTCCTTGGCTCATGTCTAAGTTGACCGTAGTCTCTGTAGCCTCCACATTGGCAGACCCTGAAAACACTCCGTCGGGTGGCTAATACTGCTCCACCGCTCCTCTAAAACATGGAGCCCCAGAAAAAGGAAGGTTCGCGTATCCATGAGTGCGGTGCTGGGATGTATGTATTGCCGCTATGGTAAGTAAAGAAGGACTTCAACACCTGATAGCAATACCATTGCTGCATATTCAGTGTCAGCACAGTGGCCTATTGGTTAGTACTTCCACCTTACAGCGCTGGGGTCCTTGGTTTGAATACCACCCAAGGTGCTCTTTGTATGCAGTCCGAGTACATGTTGTCCTTTTCCTTGGCTCCTGTCTCAGTTGACCGTAGTGTCTGTAGCCTCCTTTGGCAGACCCTGATAACGCTCCATCGTGGGGCTAATACTGCTCCACCGCTCATTTCACACATGGAGCCCCGGAAAAAGGAAGGTTCACGTATCCCTGAGTGCAATGCTGTGCTGGAATGTATGCTTTTCCAGTATGGTAAGTCAAGAGGAACTTCAACACCTGATAGCAGGAACATTGCAGCGCTTGCAGTGTCAGCACAGTGGCCTAGTGGTTAGTACTTCTACCTTACAGCGCTGGGGTCCTTGGTTTGAATCCCACCCAAGGTGCTCTTTGTATGCAGTCTGGGTACATAGAGTCCTTTTCTTTGTCTCATGTCTAAGTTGACCGTAGTCTCTGTAGTCTCTACATTGGCAGACTCTGGTAATACTCCATCGTGTGGCTAATCCTGCTCTGCCACCCATCTAACACATGGAGCCCAAGAAGACGTAAGGTTCAAATTCCACTGAGCCCAATGCTGTGATAGGTTGTGTGTTTTTTCAGTATGGTAAGTATAGAAGGACTTTACCACCTGTTAGCAAGAACTTTGCATCATTTTCAGTGCCAGCACAGTGGCCTAGTGGTTAGTACTTCTACCTTACAGCACTGGGGTCTTTGGTTCAAATCCTACCCAAGGTGCTCTTTATATGCAGTCCAGATGCAGAATGTCCTTTTACATGGCTCCTGTCTAAGTTGACCGTAGTGTCTGTAGCCTCCATTGGCAGAGTGTGGTAACACTCCATCGTGTGGTTAATACTGCTCCACCGCTCATCTCACACATGGAGCCCTAGAAGAAGTAAGGTTCACTGAGCGCAATGCGGTGATGGGTTGTGCATTTTTCGAGTATGGTAAGTATAGAAGGACTTTAACATCTGATAGCCATACCTTTGCAGCATTCACAGTGGCCTAGTGGTTAGTAACTTTGCCTTGCAGCGCTGGGGTCCTTGGTTTGAATCCTGGCCTAGCCTCTATCTGCATGGAGTTTGCATGTTATCCCTGCGCTTCATTGTTACTCTGATTTCCTCCAAAAAAAAACATTTTTATGGCTTATTGCAGGGGTAGGTAAACCCCGGCCCTCTCCAGCTGTGGTGCAACTACAAGTCCCATGATGCATTGTAAGACACGGACAGCCACAGGCAAGCCTCCCAGATGCATTATGGGATTTGTAGTTTCACCACAGCTGGAGGGCCGGAGTTTGCCTACCACTGGTATCAAAGTATCACCCTAACCGTCGGCTCCCCTCATCCCAACACCTTCTGCTTTCCAGCTCCCTTGTCAACTCCCATGCTCGCCTCCAGGACTTTTCTAGAGTATCTCCCATCCTCTGGAGTTCTTTACCCCAACCGGTCCGTCTGTCGCCCACCCTGACTGCCTTTAGGCGATCTCTTCAGGGAAGCCGATCCCACCTCCAACTAACCTATACCTCTTCATGTATCACTTCCCCCCTCCCTCTTAGAGTGTAAGCCCTCAGGGGCAGGGCCCTCCTTACCATCTTGTCTTGAATTGTATTGTGACTGTAATGTCTTCCTTATATTGTAAAGCGCGGCGCAAACTGTTGGCGCTATATAAATCCCGTGTAATAATATATTGGCTCCCGTATTGATTGGCCCCGTATGTGAGATAGGACATTAAGGCCTGGTTCACACCTAGACGTATTGCATATGCGCGTCTGTCGCGCGTTTTTTTTACCGCGATTCGCGGTAAAAAAATCGCGCTACAAACGCGCGTTTCCGAAGGCTACTTGGCTGTATCCCAATGGAAACGCGGAACAAAAACGGCCCAAAGTAGTACCTGGACCTTTTCAGGCGTGGGCCGTTTTGTAGCGCGTTAGGGACGGGCTGAAATACGGCAAGGTGTGAACCAGACCCATTGAATACAATGGGATTTAGATGTTTGAGCGTTTTGTAGAGCGTTCGTCGAGCGTAGAAAGCGCTACAAAACGTTCAGGTGTGAACCAGGCCTAAATTGTAAGCTCTTTGCGGGCCACGATTGGAATGCACAGGAAGCACTATTGATGGTTCGTCTGAGTGGATTCCCTTTCAATAAGATATTTTTTTGTCTTTTTTTTTTTTTCATGTCAGGCGCAAGGCTTGGAAAACGCCATCGAGGAGATGCTAGTCCGCCTGGACGAGTTCTGCGCCATGGTGGATATGGTGAGTCCATATTATGAGCTGTGTTCCTGTGTTCACAAAGATGGCTGCCTGAGCACATACAAAATGGAGCCGCACAACACTGCCCCTAAAGGCCTCAGCCGGGCTGGGAGCTCAGTGTCTCTGCGCAG